TTAATCTTGGTGGCAGATACAGACGTCTACCCATATTACATTTTATACTCATGGTTGGCTGAATAACAGCCCCCAAAGATGTCCCCCCATGTCCTAATCCCTAGAACCTATGAACATGCTACCTTCTGTGGTAAAAGGGACTTTGCAGGTGGGATTAAGTTAAGGATCCTGAAACGGGAGATTATCTTGAATTATCCCAGTGGGCTCAATGTAATCACAAGGGTCCTTAGAAGATAAGGAGCCCGGAGGGTCAGAGTCAGAGAAAGAACATGTGACAATGGAAGTGAGGTTGGAGGGATGAGCTTTGAAGATGGAAGAAGGGGCCACAAGCCGAGGAATGCAGACGGTTCCTAGAAGCTGGAAAAGGCAAGAAAACAGATTCTCCCTTGAAGATTCCAGAAGGAACAGCCCTACCAACACCATGCCTTTAGACTTCTCACCTCCAGAAGCGTAAGAGAACAAATCTATGTGGTTTTAAGTCACTAAATTCGTGGTAACTTGGGATAGCAGCAAGAGGAAACTAATACAGTACTTTGTTGGAATGTTTCAAAATTTAAAATTTTTTTCCTTTTATTTTATGATATTGTTAGGAGAACAGTGGCAAGGCCTAAGTTCCGTCTCCGGTTCCTCGTCCTTCAGAGGAGGCTGTTTGGCAACGCTTCTCTCAACTAGCCCCTGTATTGAAGAGGCCGAGCTGTGTGCCCATCTCAGGTGGGCCCTGGGGTTCTGGAAGCCCTGGTTGTCAGAAGATATCCAGGCTGTTGGGGTAGGTGAGGTGCACCCCAGGAGAACCTCTGGAGCTGGTCCCTCCCTCCCTGGTAGGTCAAGCTGCCAGAAGCTCACAGAAGTCTGAGGGTGACTGCAGAAATGACCTTGAGACACTGCACCAGGAGCTCCCCTTCCACGCTCCCGGACCCTCATGCGCCTCCTGAAGGAGCCGCGTGGACTTCTTGGGGCCAGCCACTGGCAAGGAGCTTTGCCTGGGAGTGGAGACAACGTTGGCTCCAGATGTTAGATGGCTAGGCCTCCTCAAGGCCAGAGCACTTCTGCCACGGGGTTGGTGGGGGAGACAACAGCGCTGTGCTAACAGGAGCCTCCCCCCTCCCCCCCGGACTTGGGTCCATGCCCTCCCCGGGGGACTGGGCAGGAGGGAGGCAGCTGAGACCTGAGCTGTTGCAGGTGCGAAGTACTCAGCCAAGCGAGCCCATTTGTCAAAGAAGTTGGACTTAAAAGGAAGGATACTGACAGGAGAGGGGATTAAAAGGCATGGAAGGATCCAGAAAGAGAGATTTTCAAGAAAAGAAACACCTGTGTAGATGTGTGTGTGTGTGCACATAGGCACACACAGAGGCCCCAGGGAGGGGGCTGTGGAGGGGAGAGAAGCTGGAGAGAGGCGGGTGGCTGTGGGGGAGGCTGCAGGGCCCAGAACACGGCACGGGCAGAAGAGCAGTCTCAGGCGGGACGAAAGACAGTTCTTCTCTTTCCAGATCTGGACACTGGGTGGGAAAGACATGGACACGGGTCTGGGAGGACACCCGCCGGCCCCACGTGGCCGCAGTATGGGAGTGGACGACGGGAGGGTCCAGGGCCTTCACTCTGTCTGCATCACCTGAGCTGTTTTCCAATAACGACGTATTCCTACACTACTTGAGAAATTGAAAATAAACACATTAGGAAGCTGCCGGGTGGCAGAACCACACCACTCGTCTGTCAGTAGCCATGCTGAGGCGGTGGCTCACACCAAAGAACTAGACGGACTCACAACTAAGATATACAACTGTGCACTGGGGGGCTTGGGGGGAAAAAAAAAAGAGGAAGCTTGGCAACAGATGTTAGCTCAGGGCGAATCCTTCCCTGCAAAAAACAAATAAATAAACACACTAGACCCCATGAGCAGCACAGACAGTAGGCACTAGAGTTGTCCAGAGACGGGTCAGGCAGGTGTAGGACTCACCGAAGGGGTGGGCTGGGGTGCAATTTGACCAGGTGATGAGGGTACCTAGGGGGAAGAGCTGAGGGGGTGAAGGGAAGGCCTGGCAGGTCTTGAAGGTGGCAGGACCCCCATGGCCAGAGTGAGGCCCCTGTTGGAGAGGAACTGGCAGCTGAGGAGATGCCGACCAGCTGCTTCAGGGCCTCTGGGAAGCTTGTTTCAAAGCTCGGACTCCACCCCCACCCCCACGCCACACACACAGATTCTGAGTCAGGAGGCCTGCCCCAGGCTCTGGAATTCCCATTTGTTTAAGTTTCCCCAATGATTCTGATGGGTCACCAGGATTCTGCTGGGGATGGGGGGATTGCCATGTGAGCAGGGCTCCAGGCCTCACACCCCCTCCAACCAGGGCTGCTCAGCACTTATGTTTTGCATGGGGGCAGCCAAAATCCTGCATCTATGGCTAAAAATAAAGTGTGAACACCTCCAGGGCAGAATGGAAGTGGCTATGTCACTTTGAAGGAAACTGGGTTGTACTCAGCACGACCATAGTTCTGACTGGCCACGCAACTGTTGAGACAGCGTGGGCCCCAGGGGAGAAGGGCAGGAGGAGTGGGACGAGAGTGGAAAAGAAATGGCACGGCCAAGAGACATTTTAGAAGAATCAGAGGAAATGGGGATGCACAAAGGGTGATGAGAAAGATAAGCCCTCGACCCAGAGGGGGAGTTGTCACCAGAGGGTCCTGGGGCAGCCGTATTTCAGGGAAGGTTCCGAGTTAGGGTATGACGGGAAATGGCAGGTGGAACCCTCGGCCAGGGTAAATTTGCTTTCACGGCCACCTTGAGGATGCGGCTGTCCTGCAGGAGAGAGGATGGCTGGGGCGCCCTGGGCCACACTAGGGAGCTCCAGGAGGACAGCAGGAGGAGAGGACTCAGGGAACTCACAGGGGAACGCTCAGGTGATGTGGCAAATTTCCCATAAAAGAGTATTCTCCCGGTCACCTCTCCTTTCCGAGAGACCGTCTCCCTGGGAAGGCCTGGGACAGCCCAGCGCCATGGTGACAGCAAGGTGGGGGATGGGGGAGGCAGAGCCAGTGAGGCCCTGTTGCAATCTGCTGACCCTATCCCCCTACAAAGAACTTCTCACCACAGACAATCTGGCCCCAGCATCACGGCTCCATTACCTGGAACCCGACATCCGAGCTACTTCCCAAGGGCCTGGCTCCTGCTCCTCTGACAGCTTCTCTCCACACGATGTCCGCCCGTCTCCTGGCCCCACTCAATCCGAGGTCCCTACACCTCAGAGCAGAAGACAGAGCGGGAGGCCCTTTCCATGGGTGACAGGACCCAGGAGGGGCTGAGTCAACCCTCAGACGCACCCCAGCTCAGACTATTACTTATCAACTGCATTTTTTATTAAGGTACCAAAACACAAGATAACGTTCTGGCACAGTGTGTTCAGAATTTAAATAAATATAACATAAGACAGGCCCAGGAGAATTGGGTATACAATCAAGAAAGAGGATGCGGCCAGCCTGGTGGTGCAGCGGTTTTGTGCACGCTTTCTGCTTAGGTGGCCCAGGGTTCGCCGGTTCGGATCCTGGGTACGGATGTGGCACCGCTTGTCAAGCCATGCTGTGCAGTAATCCCACATATAAAGTAGAGGAAGATGGGCACGGATGTTAGCTCAGGGCCAGTCTTCCTCAGCAAAAAAAGAGGAGGATTGGCAGCACTTAGCTCAGGACTAAGCTTCCTCAAAACAAAAAAAAAGATAGAGGAAAAAATTATAAATGCATTTTTTTCTTTCTGTTTTAGCAACAGTGCTGCCACAAGCATTTTTGTAGCTATACATTTTGGACACCTTCAAGATTCCTTCCAGATCACTTCCAGAGGTGGAATAGATAGGTCATAGGGTACTGGGAATTTTAAGGCTTAATTTTCCTCCAAAAAAGGCTTTTCCAGTTATTGTGCATTCCTAGAAGTAATTCGCAAGAAGGCCTGTGCCCAGCAGTGGGTATTCATTTGCTGGTCTGTTAGGTAATAAGGTGAAATGTTATCTCAAATGGTTTTATTTTTGCTTTGCTTTGAGTATTAAGGAGGTTGAGGATTTTCTTCTCTTATTAACCATTTGGTCATTATTTTGATTAATCTACCTGCTGACATCCTCCATCTCTCTCTTTGGTGCCCTATACTTTACAAGCTCTTTGTACATTAAGGATATTTGCCTCTGTTGCCACCTTTGTCTGGAAAATTTATTTTCCAAGTTTGTCTTTAAATTTGTTTGTGGTTTTTGACATACAGAAATTTTTTATTAAAAAAATGAAATCCAGTAGGTTTTTTTGGCTTATTTCTGTCTTGAGTGAGGTTCTGAGGTACAAACAGTAAGAATAGAAAGGGGGGCCGGCTCGGTGGCCCAGTGGTTAAGTTTGCGTGCTCCGCTGCGGTGGCCCAGGGTTCGGATCCCGGGCGCGGACATGGCACCGCTCTTCAGGCCACGTTGAAGCGGCGTCCCACATCCCACAACTAGAAGGACCTGCAACTAAGATTTACAACTATGTACAGGGGGTGTTGGGGAGATAAAGCAGAAAAAAAAAAAAAAAAGAAGATTGGCAACGGTTGTTAGCTCAGATGCCAATCTTTAAAGAAAAGAGTACAAAGGAATTTAGGGGGCGGGGGTGACAATCTCTGGAGACGGGCTGTGTAGTCCAGGTTCCAGTTCGCTAAAGGTGGCCATTCCACATTCACACTGGAATTCCTGTCAGAGGGTGGGAAGGGACAGGCAGGGAGGGAGGACCTGCATGGCAGGGGGCGCCTGGCCACACGCAGCGTGTAGGTGGGAGGATGACTCCAAGTTGGTCCTGTGTGGTGACGGGACGAAAGAGAGGCCTGCCACGGCCAGGGGACCAGATTATCTCATCCGGAAACCAACACGGAGCCTGAACCATCTGAGAAGGGGACAGAACCCACCCAAGGGGGCTGTCCTTGGACCCCAGTGAGGCACAGCTGTGCAATAGACAGCAGTCTAAACACCATGCCGGAAGTTTGGCCTAATCACAGATAGGGTCCGAGTGGGAAACCATTCCGAGGTTGAGTCCTCAGTTTACCCGTCCCTAAGCCGTGAGAGGTGCTGCTCAGAGGGGTCTTGCTCCTGGCGTTCACGCTGCACTTTCAAAGACGGCAGAGTTGTTGCTCTTTTCCTGTTTACCGAGTCGGAATTTTAAGAATCACTGAAAAGCTGCCTTTCTTCTCCATCCAAAAGTTGAAAGAAACTCAAGCCCGGTTTGTCTGTGAAAATTGAAAATCGTCCTCTAAGTTTCACATTGTGTGTTGACTGTTTGCGTCGACGAATTTGAAAACAAAGGTCAGAGGCATTCTTTGTAACTTACTGTAGACATTTCAAAAGAACAATCTGGCGAATGCCGAGAAGTTACAGAAATAGATTGTGTGGTCACTGGCTGATTAAAATGGAAAAGCCAAAGGTTTTCCGAGAGGGAACAAAAGGAGGTGAGGAGTCTAGACTGGCCACTCAGAGGAGTGTTTGTGTGTCACCGAGGAGTGACTGGCAGTTTGGGGGGCTCGCCTCGGCCCTGTCTAACTGGTCATCATTCTGGGGTGTGGATGCCCAGGATCTTTATTGGCACAGCTGGCTCTGAACGAAGGCTTTTCCCAGCAGGGCCAGAGAGTCGCCTGGGGCAGCTGCTCTGTGCGAGTCCGCCTCTGTGGAAACAGTCTGAGTGGGTCATGCCAGCGAGGGTGTGTGTCCCTGGGCCTGACATCCCGTGTTGCTGGGCAACTCAGTGTGTACGGGTGTGTCCCCTTAGCACTCTCTCTCCTGCTAGTCCATGGGCACAGCCTGAACGGCAGGCGTGACCGTCCCCATGTGATCAGGTCTGTGACAGCCCCTGTTCTCTGGGCTCAATGATGACAGGCACAAAAGTACCCAAGCGGTGTATGCCTGGGGTTCTCCCAAGTGCTCCCTTGGGAGGTTGTGGCTGAAACTGGAAGTTTCCATCTGGTCGCGTGTGTGCAGACCCCTCTGGGTCTGGGCAGTGGACTGTCAAGGCGCCAGCAGGACGTGCTCGTGCCTGAGGGTCTGTAGTGGAGCTGGTATCTCCAGGCCCGGCTGTCCCTCTTTGGGGGCTGGCCTTGGGCATCGCAGAATCTTGCAGGAGTGATGACTCCTGCCAGACGCTTCTCATCATCCTCGCAGGAACCTTCTGAATTCACTATTTGGAACCAGCCCACAGTCACTGCGCCACGGGCAGCCATCCTTCTAGGCAGAAAGCAAATGTAACAAGGCAGATGTGTGAGTGCCTAAAATTGCTTAGAAAGAAAATTTTCAGAGAAAGAAAAAAAGACTTTAAAAATATTTTCAACAATGAAAACAACATCTTGGAAGTAGAGAACCTTCTAGGGTGATTCCTTTAGTGTTCTCTTCTCTTTTGGTCTTGAAGAGCTCTACTTTACTATCGTCGAGGTGAGAAAATGGTTTCAGAAAAGGAGATGATTTGCTCACACTGCACAGAGAGGTGGAGACAAGAGCTGGGACTAAACCCGGCTCCTGAAGGTCCCCCAGGCTCTTCCCAGCGTGTTTGTGTTTCTGTTTACAGCTGTGTGTCTCTGGGCGTGTCCCCCTCTGGGCTGTGCACAAACGGGCTCTAGGTGTGTCCCCGGCTCCAAGCAGCTCGGCCAGCAAAGCGTTTCTCCACTGCAGGGAATTTCCAGGAGGCAGATCCTGCCTCAGCTGCGGTGAGGCATTATTTCCTTGGGAGGAAACCAGCTCTCAGCAGCCAGAAAAGAAACAGTTTCCACTCCGGGAGGGGGATGGGGAAGTGGGGGAGGGCGGAGGGGAGGGAGGAGAGAGGTCCTCCCCGAGGCCTGCCTGGAAGGGAGCTGCCTCAGGGCCCACAGGCCCCTGGCTCCCCGAGCCTCCAGACACAGTTTAAATTTAGACCTTCTATTCTGTCCTGGCAGCTCGGCCTCACCCTGCAGCCACACAGCTGGCCAGTGTCCCCAGGCACACTGCTTCTCCAGGACGGAGGGGTGCAGAGTGTAGGAAACTCTCCCAGAGGCAAACCGTGTCCTCATAACTGTTTGGCGGAACTAGGATGTATGTAGAGAGGAATGGAAGAAAGAACAAAGGCGGAAAAATCACCTCCTAACTCACATTTCAGAACCTGGGCCCCCAAATCCACACGCCCCACTAACTCCACCAATGGCAAAGTGTTTGTCCCGCAGCCATTTGTGGAGAGTCGGCCACGTGAGAAGCTGAGATGGGAACCGACGCAGGCCCCGTTGGCGGGGGGGAGGGGGGGGGGAGTGTTCCAGGAACACGCAGGAGAAGAGGCAGCGTAACCATCCTAATCCCTAAGGACACCACTTCGTTTGGCCTCTGCTGGGACGCTCCTTCCCCCGCCGTCCAGCTCAGCCCCCGCCTCCCCCTCCCCGCCCCTTCCCCACTTCGCCTTCTCCCAGTGCGCGCCATCGTCTGATAATGCGGGTATTCCTGTGTCCAACAGGTGCCTTTCCCGAATGGACGGTCCAGGACGGCAGGGACCTGGTCTGGCTCACGCTGCATCCAGTGCCTAGAGAAACAGGCTTCATTAACTGACCACCCGCTTTGTGCCAGGCGCTGTCTTAAATGCTTTAAACGCATCATCTGATCTGATCCTCACCATAGTCCTACAAGGATTTTGACCCAAGTAGGAGAATGATGCTCGGAGAAGCTGAGAATCTTGCCCAAGGACATATAATTTGACCCTCGCAGTCTGCACGTACTCTTAACTGCCATACCGTAGACTTGGCCGTGAGAATGTGCCCTTTCCACCGGCCCTGCACATCCTCTGCTGGGGAACCACCCCCCTTATTCGGCCCTTGCTTGCTGAGCTCCCTGTGCCAGCCTTAGGAATGCTGAACCCCTGCCGCCCCACCCCTACCACCCTGGCCTTTGGAGGGGGCGTGGAGGTGCACTCATGCTTGGGGGATCCAGAATATCCCACTGTGAAGAGGGTTGTTTTTCTCTTGAACGCCCTTTATCTGAAATCAGGGCCTCCCAAAAGAATTCGACTGTCGTAAGTCCCCTCCCCAGGAGTTTTGCAACCAGAGAAGGTTGACTCCTGTCACCAGAGAGAAATCTGCACTGCGATAAGAAAACTATGAGATCACCCATCTCTTCTCCTAAGGGCCCATTTATCTTTCCAAAAATTGTTTGTTTTTCTGTAAGTTCTCCTCTCCCCCTCCCCTTCCCCTATGAAGATGGGCTGTAAGCTCCAAATTCTAACTACCTCCTTGAGTCACACTTTTCCGTGAACCCCTAGGCACGTATGTGAACTAAAAATCCATCTTTTCTCTTACTGATCTCTATTTTGCCAGTTTAATTTGCAGGCTCCCAAGTAGTGAACCTAAGAGGGTGGAGAAAAGGTTTTCCTCCTAGACAACGCCAAGTTCGATCAGGAGGGAGAAACGCTGGTGGTACCATCCTTCAGAGGGGAGGGGACCTGCTGACCCCTGACCGGTTGTTGGTGGCCAGGATGGATTTGTGCTCATTTTTCTTCTGCCCATCACTGTGCATCCTAGGACACTACAATCTCTGCAACTGAGTTTCTTTCACACAAAGCGAACATATACTGGAAGCTGCTCCCTCAGCCTTCTCAACATGCTTCCGGCTGAAGGAAAGGAGACACCAGCAAGGCCACTGCCCCAGGCAGTAGGTTGGCTGGCCTGAGAGGGGAAGTGGGCACTTAGTCTGGGGAATTCGCCATGGTCTGCAGTGCAGCCCTTAGCTTTGGGGCAGAGAAGATCCCTTTTGGCAGGACTGACTCACATTAATCAAACTCACCAAGCGCTGACGTAAAAACTGGAATGCTATCTTCCTATTTTGCAGAGGAGCCTGTGTGCGAGACAAGATGCTCACACAGGCAGGTCTGGACAGTCCTCTCTCTCCTGGTGTGGGAGTCTGGCAGAAACAACTACAGTGAGAGGTTGCTGGGTGGGCTGGGATCTGTTGGTGTATCTCAGTGGCCCAAAGCGATGAAGGGGTCAGATGTCCATGAGAAGAAGGCTCTGCTGGACATGTAGGTTAGTAGGAGAAAGTACGTATTCTTCAACTCAAAGCTTATTTCAGAGCATAACATGTAAACACTGATAAACTTGGAACTGCTCTGAGTCGGGGGAGAGGGAAGCCCACCCCCAGGGAGCTCCAGGGAGCAGCTGGAACACTTCTGGCCTCTTAGCAACTTTCTGAGGTGTCCCTGGCCAATGGCAGCTGGCCTGCCTGACACTTCTGGGGAGGGAAGCTGGGCCGGAGAGCTGCTTGTTGCAGGAGCGTTCAGTATGAGGAGGGTGGCATTTCTGATAAAGGGCCCGAGGTCAGCTGGGGAGGGTGTGGTTAATCTCTGGATAGCCAGAGATCCTGGTACCCTAACACCTGGATAGGGGACATCACAGATGAAGTCTGCTACCCAAAGGCCGATTTACGTCTGACCACCCCCTGCCCAAAATTCTACTGTGTAGTCATTTTTTAGATTTCGGTACTATGGTCCTATAAGGCCCCTTTGGAAATGCAGATCTACCTAAAGAGGAATAACCCAGTATTCCTGAAATTTTTGAGGTGAGTAAGTGACTCCTAGAACCATCCTGAAATTTCTGGCTATTTCTGGGTACGCCTGCTTCTAAGCAAAGGCAAGCTGACTGCTTGTAAATGACCACAGAAATAAAAGGAGAGGAATAGGAGGAAGCTATTTCTATGTAGATAAAGAGCAATTTCCAAGACAATATTGTTAAATAAGGAAGCCAGGTGCAGACCAGGTACCTAACATCTTAGCGTTTAAGTAAGAAAAGGGAGGGTGTCTGCACACCTTCACCTTTGGCTGTAAATGTGGTGAGCAGCCCTGGAAGGGGAGAGAAGCTGGTCAAGTTGGAGGCCAAGCGAGGGGTGGGAGAGAAACTTGTACCATGTACTCTTTTCAACTTTTGATCGTCCCATGTGCTTGTGTATTAATTCAAAGAACAATTTGTTTTTAAAAATTCATTTCAGGGGCCGGCCCCATGGCGGAGTGGTTAAGTTCTTGCGCTCCGATTCGGCACCCCAGGGTTTCGCCGGTTTGGATCCTGGGCATGGACCTGGCACCGCTCATCAGGCCATGCTGAGACGGCGTCCCACATGCTACAACTAGAAGGACCCACAACTGAAATATACAGCCATGTACCGGGGGGCTTTGGGGAGAAGAAGAAGAAGAAAAAAAAGAAGATTGGCAACAGATGTTAGCTCAGGTGCCACTCTTTAATAAATAAATAAATAAGTAAGTAAAAATTCGTTTTGGGGCTGGCCCTATGGCCTACTGGTCAAGTTCAGCATGCTCTGCTTTGGTAGCCCAGGTTTGGTTCCCGGGCATGGACCTATACTACTCATCAATGACCATGCTGTGGTGGCAACCCACATACAAAATAGAGGAAGACTGGCACAGATGTTAGCTCAGGGCAAATTTTCCTCAGCAAAAGAAAAAGAAAAAGAAAAAAAATTTGTTTGGCCTGATATGTAACTGCAGATGCTCCTGCCTCTAGCTCCAAGATGCAGTTCTGTGCTCTGCCACTAACCTGCTCCCAGGTCCTCATCACCGGCCAGGTAGCACCCTACATCCTCAGCCCAGGGACCCAGGGACCCTGGCAAGGGAACAGGTGCCAAGCAGGGGCAGTACCTGGGGACCTCTGGCAAGAGTTTGTGGCACTGTCTATAGCTCATAATGCCCTAAAGGAATAGAAGAACCACAAGCACCTAAGCAAAGCCACCAGGGTGCTGTGTGGGCCAACCCCAGCAGATGGCAGCGTGTGGCCAGCTGCCGGGGAAGGGTGCCAGCCACACAGGAGTGGGGACTGGACACCGCGAGAGAAGGCTGGCAGGGTGACCGTGAGGGCAGAAGGACCCTGGCCAAGGCTAGGTGGGCTTCCCCATCTTCTCTGTGCCACAGGCCCCTTGGAGTCTGGCAACCTTCTCAGAGTGAGGTTTTTAAACGCATAAAGTAAAATACCCAGGATTACAAAGGAAGCAAATTATATTGAAATACGATTGCCATGAGTGATTAATAATTCTTTATTAATGTATTAAATCAGGATTGGATCCAGTGGTAGGCCTGATAACTACCATGATTTTGAAGTCATGACGAGCATAGATAATATTCAAAGTATCTGCCACCACAGTGGTGTGATATGAAAATAGCTGTGACTCCTGTTGGTGACGAAGTCCCAGGGGCCGCCTTTACTACTGTGGTACAATGTCTGCATGCACAATGGAAGGAGATGCTAGATTTCAATTCAAGATTAGCAAAAATAGACATGCAGATTTTTCCTTCCCAAGTTCACCGACTTCCAAAACCTTAACTGCTGTCTGAGAATCTGAGAAGTGCAGCTTGGAAGGGGCACCAAGTGGAGAAGAAAAGATGGGTTTCTAGACTGTCTCCCCAAACCAGTGTTTCCTTCTGCCATTCACAGTGAGTGTCAGAGACCCGGACGGCCTAGCAGGGGCAGCGGAGGTGCAGGAGGCCTGGGCCTGGTCCAGCTGCTGTGGGACACTTTGCCCTGGCTGGAAGCGGGTCTGGAATTGGCACAGACGGATGCTCCTCCCAATGCCTCTGGGCACTCCAGTGACACAAGAAAGTCAGGCCCTGGCTGGGAGGACCAGTCAGGGTTCCCCTCCCTTCTTGTTCCTCCATCTCCCCTCCAAGGCCCCCCCAGTTCCTTTAACTGCAGGGGGGCCCATGCCTGAGTATCTGGAAGCCAAGAAATGCCCCGGGGCCCCTCCTCCCTGCAGAAGGTGTTTCCCTTCATGTGGATAATGGCCATTGACGACGAGGAAGTGAGGGGAAGTCTTTCTCCTCTGCTTATGCGTCCACCTGAACAGATGCTTTGAGTCTGAACCTAAAAACAGGGGGCCCAGACAATCCCATGTTACGGCTGTGGGCATGGCATATTCTCTTTCAGTTTGTCTATTCGGTTTGCTTCTTCATTTTGTGTTTCAAAACTTTTTTTTTTATGATTTTATTTTTTTCCTTTTTCTCCTCGAAGCCCCCCAGTACATAGTTGTATATTCTTCGTTGTGGGTCCTTCTAGTTGTGGTATGTGGGACGCTGCCTCAGCGTGGTTCGATGAGCAGTGCCATGTCCTCGCCCAGGATTTGAACCAACAAATCACTGGGCCGCCTGCAGCGGAGCACGCGAACTTAACCACTTGGCCACAGGGCCAGCCCCATCAAAACATTTTAAACATATGTAAAAGTAAATAAAAGGGACTCCCATTGACCCTCTCTCCCAGAGTCTACAGTTACCAATTTTTTGCCACACAGGCTTTATTTGTCCCTTTCCAGTATAACTATTAGAAGTGCCCTCCTTCACTCCGGAAGTCCTAGTTTGGACAACTAAATGCACTATCTGATCCTAGACTAGATCATGCACTGGAGGGAAAAAGTGCTATTAAGGACATCTTTGGATCAATTGATAAAAATGGGAATATAAACAGTAGAGCAGATACAAGTATTACATCAAAGTTATATTTACCAAAGTTGATTGAAAAAAATATGGTTATGTAAGACAGTTTCCTTATTCTTAGGAAATAAATAGGAGTAAGGGGCCATGGTGCACGCAACCAACTTTCAAATGTTTCAGAAAAAAAGCATGTATATACACATATGTACATGTAAACATATGTATATGTATGTATACAAGTGTGTATACACATATGTGTGTGTATATATATTGAGAGAAAGAGATTGAAAGTAAATAAGAAAGATGCTAAAATTGGTGAATCTGAGTAAAGATATAGGAGTGTTCTTATACTATTTGTATTCTTTCCATTTTTCTGTAAGTTTGGAATTATTTCCAGAAAAACATACAAAAAACCCTATGTTAGCAAACCAATGAGAAGTGCTAGTCTGGACAATAAATTATGTGGCCACCCTACCTAAGATTCATCTAAAATCTAAAATGGCCACTGTGGGTTTGACTGTGCTGGGGAGGGAAATGCCCCTGCTACCCCTCTTGAGTTCTTATGCCTGGACTAATAATTAAACTGACACAAGACCAGAGTAACAGGAGGGAAAAAGCAATTTAATACGTACGTACAGGAGATCATAAAAGTGATCCTCTAAGAGTGAACAAATCAGCTAGTTTATATATCTTTTTATACAAATAAATAATAAAAATCTGTAATTGACAAGACAAAGAAACTTAGCTTTGGGCTATGTTAATTACATAATTGTGAGGAATTTAAGCAGAGTTTAGGCTTGAGGTAGTAAATTAGTAAAAGTAACAAGAGTTGTTTATACAGGCTTCTCAGCCCTGAACTCCCCAGCTCTGTGATAAGGATGTCTCTATTTCCTGGTGCAAGGAGGGTACTTTTCTCATGGGAGATTTATTTCCTGCCTTCAGGAGGAACAGAGAGAGGAGAGTCAAAACTTTAAGTCAAAACAAATAACTTAAATTCAAAATAGTCCATATGCCATTGTGGGACACTTTGGAGCAGCCTGCCCTGGGTGCCAACAACTGGGAGGCAAGTCCCGAGATTCCAGGCTGAAAGAGTTCTGTCTCACAATTCTGTTTATTCTCTGCCCCACCCTCATTTGCATCTGTATGAAAGGCTACAGAGAATATTCATAAAACCAGGCCCATTTTGTTGAGCAATGGCTGCATGCAGAACCCTGGGGTAGGGGCAACAGTGCCAAGATGACTGAAGTGGCTCGTGGGCAGGTGGGCAGTGTTAGGGGCCATCCTGACGGCAGGGAGCTCTGCAGCCCCAGGTCTGGCCCCCCCTGGTGCTGGCCCCAGAGGCCCTTAAGTGCTTGAGTTCCACAATCCTCCCCTGTTACGGAGGCTGGGATGCCAGGACGTGGCTGTGTGCTGTGCATTGGCCTGGAGCAATCTCTTGCCTGGGGCATCTCTGCACATCATTGACAGGAGCTGCTGTCCACTGGAATGAACTAGAACAAGAGCTGACTGTCCGTGGCCCTCACCCAACACCTGGGCTTTTCATAAGGGGTCTAGAGTCCATGAGAATCCCCCAGTCCAAGAAAAGATCTCCTAGGTAGAAGCATTCTGCCCCATCGTGCCTTTTTTTTTTTTTTGGAGGAAGATCAGCCCTGAGCTAACATCCATGCCCATCCTCCTCTACTTTATATGTGGACAGCATGGCGTGCCAAGCGGTGCCATGTCCGCACCCAGGATCTGAACCGGCGAACCCCGGGCCACCAAAGTGGAACGTGCGAACTTAACTGCTGCGCCACCGGGCTGGCCCCCCATCATGCCTTTTTGTTATCCAACTCTGGGTTGGAATTTAATATATTTACTCTAATCTCCTGGATGTCTCCGCGTCAACTGGTGTGCCCCTTCCCCCTGCACCCTTCTCCTACCCTTGAAACTCAGAAGTATAATAACAATAACAATGGCTGACACTTTATGCACATTTCATCATTTAATCCTCCCAAGAACTGGAGGAGGTAAGTACTATTATCCCCTTCCACACAGTTTAGAAAACATTAACTAAGTTCACCCAGCTAGAGAGTGGTGGCACTGAGCTTCCAGCACAGGCAGCGCAGGAAGGGGTGGGGCAGGCAGAGCTGCTCCCGGGAGGCGTCCTCGCCCCAGGACCTGGGAGCCCAGAGAGTGAAAAGCCCACTCTGAAATGGACACAAGGGTGGGCTACAGTCCCAGATTTCTGAATCTCCATGAATATAACGGGATGTCCTGAGCACAGACTTGGGAACCAGGCTGCTTGGGTTCAAACTCCAGTTTAGCTGATCACCAGCTGGGTGACTTTGGGCAAGTGTCTGTACCTCGGTTTGCTCCTCTGTAAAATGGGCATAATAATGGTACCACATGGGGTGGCTGTGTGTATTCATGAGTTACACACACAGAGATTCTCTGACGGCATTCGCTCTTTCTCACAAAATGCTGCTTTCTGTGCATCCCTCCCTTAAAGCCACTTGACCCTGAGGATTCACCCACTTTTTAAAAATTAGTCAATGAGTTTACCCAATAGAGGGTTGATTACTCAAGTAGTTATCTCTTAAGAAAGTACAAAAGGCTGTGAAAGAGAAGAGTTGGGTCAAGGTGGAAAAATTTCTGAAAGCCTGTATGTGTGTGTGACCTGTTTAAACACAAAGAAGTAGGTCTGCAAGGATCCACGGCGCACTGCTCAAGGTGCTCGCCTGCCTGGGGGATGGCAGGGGCAGGGAGGCGAGACAAGGGCTTCTGCATTTTACTTGTATAGGCATCAGCATTTAAAAAAAAATTAACAACAAACACGTGCTACTGTCACGAAGCAAAGTGGGTTTGCTTCTTGGTGAGCTGAAATCAGAGCCTTCACCAGAAGTAGTTGTCACACAAAGGAAAGTTTATTTGCCGCAAATAGGAGACCTCGGGGAATCATTTCCAAAGTCGGGGCTCTCTGTGAGCACAGGACAGGAGGGGCCGTTTATTTCAGATGGGGAATGAATATTCAAAGGAGAGAGGTGGGTATTCGCTTGCGCAGGCTCAGTTGGAAAACATGCTTCCACATACATCACGTTATGGCAACAAGGCCTAAGCCCCTCCAAGAGGGAAGATCTTAGCGTTAAAAATGAGGCAAAGGTCACCTCCTACCCATTGGGTGTGCCTCTGCCATCCAGTTGTGGAATAAAATCCATGCATCAAGAATTTTAAAATAGGAATAAATGTGGTTGAAGGTACATGGGGAATCATACTCCTACTTTTCTGTATGTTGAAAATTGATGTAAATTTTTAAAAATTTAAAGCAGTTTGCTCTCAAGGTAGATGACCTTAAAAGTACACATATAGAAAAAGTCCCGTGGCTTATCATCACTCACGACAAACGTGAAAGTCTGCAGAACTACAAAATCCTAAATGCCTAAAAAAGGTATAGCAATTGCTGTCTTCAATTCATTCCCTCTCATACACACAACTGGCTGTAATTTCCAGTTTTATAAAGTAGCCGTGTAGCCATTTGGAAGATTCTGGTGTTAAAAAAGAAATAGGCCCAAAATGGAGTCATTTGCCCCCACAATAGCCAACCAAGACTTGATTACAGTTTCAACCTATCCCAGGCATGTGATCTTTTCAACGGTCAATCAGAAATTTCCTGACTAGCCCTAGTGAGGTAATCTGCATGATGAAAACCCCTTCTGATCCCTTCCCCTAAAAGAAGCCGTCCTGGCCTGAAACAATTCTTTCTTTTCTTTTGCTAATCACTTCCTTACCCCACCCTCCTTCTGCCTATAAAAACTTTCCAGTTGTACAACTCCTTGGATTATCTCTCTACTTGCTACACAGGATGCTGCCTGATTCAAATTGTTTAATATAGCCAATTAGATCTTCAAATTTACTCGGTTGAATTTTGTTTTTTAACATATTTGGTGGCAGCCGTGGGATCAAAGGAGACTTCTGTTGACTTCGAGGACAAAGAGAAACACAGGTGTGGTGCCCTGTGAACACTTCTGAGTTTGCTGTCTTTTTTCACCATTTCCAGGGGCGTTTTGGTAAGTTCCTCTCGGTTTGAGCTCTGCTCTCTTTTTACATTGTGCTCCCTATTTAATTGGCTTTTCAGACCACAATTCCCAGATTATTGAGTGGAAACCCCAGCCCTGATTCTCTCCTCAGATTCCATGTTGGGAACTGCTGGTGGCAGCTGCAGCTCTCTATTTGTTTGGGATCACTCTGAAGTCCTCATTCTTTGAGGCCTGCTGGTCCAATCCTTTCCCCAGAGTCCAGAGTCCCGTGGGCATTGTTGGGGGTTAACACCAGAGTTGGACTGGGTCCAACTTAAGAATGGGGCTGGGTCTGATTCCAGAACCAGAGAGGGTCTGGGATTGGACTGGTTCGGATTTGAGCTAGACTAGGTCCATTGGAAGGCCTCAGGTGAATATTAAATAAAGGCCAGCTCCTAATGGGAATCTCAGAAGTAAAAAAAAAAAAGCAACAAACTTTAGTGGGCATGGTCCAAACATTTAAAGGCTGCTAAAATACTCGCCACCTCCCAACCTCACAGCAAGTCCTTCTTAGTATTAGTTTGGCTATGAGAAACCCAAAGGCATAGCTAAAAGAAATGGGATCCTTTATATTCAAAGAATTGAGGGCACCACCTTCTGGCACACCTGCTTATTTTATGTTTAACAACTATAGACCAGTAAATTGCAGATAAGATGCAAAGATTTCACTGAAAACTACCTAGAATTACAATGGCCATTGTGGGGAATGTTCCAATTAGACAAGATGGTTCATTTAAGAAATACACTAGAGGAGCCAGCCCTGTGGCCTAATGGTTAAGTTCGTGCTCCGCTACCACAGCCCAGGCTTTCGCCGATTCAGATCCTGGGCGCGGACATGGCACTGCTCATCAGGCCATGTTGAGGCGGTGTCACACATGCCACAACTAGAGGGACCCCCAACTAAAATATACAACTGTGTACCAGGGGGCTTTAGGGAGAAAAAGGAAAAATAAAATCTTTAAAAAAAAAAAAAAACAAGAAATACACTAGAGAGCAAAAGATCCCAAGTTGAACAGACAGAATGGGACGCCTTTAATTGGTACGCAGAAGCTTCCAAAAACCTTTAAGATTCTAAAATAGTTTCATTGAAAGATTCATTGCAAAAGGCTAATAAAAAATTAAAAACAAAAGTTATCTAAAACAACAAGTCGGCCTCCCCCATTACATTCTCCTAGGGATTGATTATCCATTCAATGGCTGAAGGCTATAGGGGAAGAAGACTTTTCCTCTACCTAATGTGGGTTCGTCTGGCCGGAGAACAAATTAAATTCACATGAGACAGAATAGCAAGAGAAAATTAAACAAAGCTTTATGAGGACCGTGGCCAGGGGCCTTTCTTCCCAAAGGAAGAAAGGGCACTGAAGAAGTGGGGTGCACAGAGTGGTTATATACCCCTAAACAGGATATTTCGCATATGATTGAAATGTCCCTCCCAAAATAGTCACAAGATTGTCCTGTCGGCACAGCGCTTGATGGACACAGCAGGTAGTGGTCTGCTATCTTGGAGGGCGTAGCAGGAGGCAAGTCTCGAGCTGGGTGGCCACAGGTGAGCGCAGCAATCAGTTCCTAGCCTAAGGAATCAGTTCCTAGCCTAAGGAAAGATGCTTAATCCTTAAAGAAATGCCAGTGTTGGGAGGGGGAGGGGGAGGGAAGTCAGTTACAGGAGGTTACCAGACAAGCACAAGAAACAAATGCAGATTTAAGTCCTTGCCTTCCCCATTGATTAAGAGTTTCTAGAGACAAGGTCATCTCCTTTCTTCTTCCTGGTACAGAGAGGGAGGCACCTTTACAGATAGAGATTTGCCTTACAAATGTAAATGTGTCCTAACAAAGGGCAAGCAAGTTCTACTCCTCAGAGCCTCCTTCCCTGTCCCAGTTTATCAAAAGCAATCAGCCTCAAATAATCCTTATGCCAAAGAGACATATCTTGGGGTGGCCAATTCCAGTCCCCACAAGGCTCAATACTTAATTTGTAATCAACTGGGACACTGGGGGAAAAAGGTGTCCTCAAAGGCCCTATGCAAACTCTTCTCAAATGCCCTCATATCTACCTCCAAAGGAGGGCCTCCATATGGGCCCCTCCTACAGGTGCTGGGGCTCTGAGGGGTTTTCTGGTAAACTATTGCCAGTAATTCCCTTAAACAGCCAAGGGCAAACTAAAATTACAATTAATGGGGTTGCTCAGTACTGCCAGAAATACCCACTGTTTGTCCCAGCTGAAACTTGACGAAATATTTGAAAGGACTTAATAACTTTATGATCAGAAATTTGGCCAAATTGGAAGCTGATATTCAGAGTCTGATGGGAATTTTTTTTAGGCCTTCTCTAAGCTAAATGTATCTAGAGGGAAAGAAAAACATTCTAGCATAGGCGAATGGGTGTGCCAGCCTTTTGATACCATTTAGATGGCAACCCAGTTCTTTGGGGAATTGAAAACTGTCTTTGTCTTGCAAATTTATGCAGGGCCAAAGACGTGGCTCTGGAAGTTCTAGGTTTACCTCCCTTTTTTGCCAATCTCCCAAACCTTGCCCATTCCTCTCAAAATGCTCGAAAATATCAGGACATTGGAAACAGAGTTGTCATGCACTTAATCTTTGTGATGTAAATTTTCTATCCTCACCTTCTCTAGGACCTAAGAGCCATTCTTTGAAACGCAAACCTTAGGGAGAAGTTTTTGTTTTCATCCAAAGAGAAAAAGGAGGGGAGTGTATTTGGAAATTGGGCTAATGAAAAACCTTAAATGTCCGCTCTGCAAATATTAGTAAACAAAAGCTATACAATCTCTGTTTGCATCTGTCTGTGCGTTTGTGTTTGTGGTCATATATGTATGTTGTAAATGTGAGATATTTTTCTGCCTCTGGATTGTATCGTGAAAATTGATTGGTAAAAGAGCTCTATTTAATTGGGTTGAAGGTCAAGTGCCATTCTAAAACTCTTAGAAATATAGAAACTAATCCAAATGTTTTTCAAGTTCACATAATCTGAGATCATCTTTAGTAAACAAAAGCTAGTTTAAGTTTGCTGGTTTAATTAAAATAAACATGTCTTCAGAGTTATTGCATTAAATGTAATGCAGATAAACAACTTTTATTCTACTTGAGTTTATTAGTCAAATAAGCTCTGCTATCTCTTACAAAACTTATCAGCCAAAAACAAAAAAAGAACGATGGCTGATTTTGTCTAATGTCTCATGATGTTTTTGTGGGTAATCTAAACATAATAGTTGGGAGCAAATGATTTAGATAGATGTAAATGGAATAAGAGTTTATAGATAAACTTTTTAGCAACAATTACATTTTATGGTATGTGTACTTAAAAATAGCTTCCAAAATTTTTTTTGGTAACTTGAGACCTTAGAGTTTTGCTAAGTTAAATTAAATGATGGAAATTCATTGATTGTCTAGATCATTTCCAAATAAGATAAAATACTGAAACATTAATTGCGAAACAAGCCTAAGTTTACCTACTTTTGACCTCTATTACAGAGGAACTAAAGATATTTGGGTCTGTTAGTATATGATTATAATTTTTATGACTTTGTGTTAAAAATATATATTTGAGGTGGGGGGAGATCGGCCCTGAGCTAACATTCATTGCCAATCTTCCTCTTTTTGCTTGAGGAGGATTGTTTCTGAACTAACATTTGTGCCAATCTTCCTCCATTTTGTATGTGGGACGTCACCACAGTGTGGCCTGATGAGTGGCATGTAGGTCTGTGCCTGGGATCCAAATCCCTGAAGCTCAGGCCGCCAAAGTGGAGTGCGCTAACTTAACTACTATGCCACTGGGCTGCCCCCATGTGTTTAAAATATTGATGGTTCTTTTTTTTTCCCCTCCAGATATAAAGAAACCTTTTCTCTTTAGCCAAAGTATGACTTACAGCAGTTTGGTAAATTATACCTTTGTAAGCAAAGACGGAAACATTTACTTTTTCTCCCTACCTGATCCCTGCAAAATTTGAAACCTCTTGCATATTCTTCTCATGGCAATATAGTTAGTTATTTGTATAAATTCAATAAGAATCTGTTCTTCTTGTAACAGGACACAGTTGGAAACAAGGGAATTTTGTTGTTGTTGTTGTTTTTAAAGATTTTTTTCCTTTTTCTCCCCAAAGCCCCCCGGCGCATAGTTGTATATTCTTAGTTGTGGGTCCTTCTAGTTGTGGCATGTGGGACGCCACCTCAGCGTGGCTCAATGAGTGGTGCCATGTCTGTGCCCAGGATTTGAACTGATGAAACACTGGGCTTCCTGCAGCAGAGCGCACAAACTTAACCACTCGGCCATGGGCCGGCCCCAACAAGGGAGTTTTTTTATGTTCTCTGAGACCCCAATCAAAACTGGGCGACACATAAGCACTCTACTTATTGCTATTCTCTAACCTTCTGAAATCACTGACATCAAAATTGAGGCTCACACTAAAAGAACTGAATCTGGATATCAGGAAAATGCCCTGGCTGACTTTCACGCAAAGGCAGCAGCAACAGAATCCACTGTATAAAGATCGTGGCACAAGTAGATGAAGTCCATTTTGCTTTTGCAAAATATGGCCCCCCATTGCCAGACTTTTGCCATCCTGATGTCCTTGCAACATGGCAATAGTCTGCTTCTGAATCAGAGAAGTTAGGATGGGCAAACAATGGCTGTAAATTTAACAAACAGTTAGGGCTATGGGAAACTCAAGATGGCTGCTTGATTCTTTGCCACTCCCTGGATAACCTCATTTTTTTGGTTTTTGCTTTCCTTCACCCGCCACAGAGCATTTAAGATGACTCAAATTAGGAATAGACATTGGTGGGAAGACTTCTATAAAACTGCAACAACAGTTTACCAACAATGTCTGACCTGCCAGGTCCATAATCCTGGAAAAATTATTTTTTGTCCCCATGGGCTTTTTTGTCTCCTCTGGACCCTTTGAACACTTGTAGCTGGACTCATGCAACTTGAGTTATCAATATGTCCTTGTTATTTTATGTAGGTTTCCTGGATGGGCTGAAGACTTCCCTTGCTGCAAGGCTGATGTCCTTACAGTGGCAAAGAAACTGTTAGAAAATGTGTTTCCCACTTGGGGTCTACCTTCCATAATCTCTAAAATGATTGAGGCACCCACTTCCCTGGGGAAATCATACCTTAATGAAAACCTTGGAATGAATTCCTTCTTAGAATTATCACTATCCCTATCACCCTATCACCCAATCATTAGGCAAGGTCAAGAGAACTTGACCTCTTGATGTGATCCTCAAAATTAAAATTCCTAAACTTGCCAAAACTACTGGACTCCCTCGGCTTAAAGTATTTCCTTTGGTCTTGCTGACTGTTCACAGTACCCACTTTGGGAGACATAAACTCACTCCACACAATATAGTCTGGTAGGCCAAGTCTATTGGTATACAACCTGCTGCTGACCCCTTGTTGCCTCATGCTAGTATGACCAGTTACTGTAAGTCTCTATGTCTTATGTTCAAGCCTGTTATCAACAGGGTAAAGAAGCTTTCCTGGATCCCAATTCAAAGGATCCTCTTGATCACAGTCTAGAGCCTGATGACTAGGTATTCTGGAAATGTCATCAGAGGAAGACAGCCCTTGAGCCTTGTTGGAAGAGCCTTTACCAAGTGCTCCTGACCACTGACACTGCTGCAAAACTAGAAGGCATTGAGCCTTGGATACACATCTCACAGCTAAAGAATGCTCCACCTGACATCTGGTCCTGCACAGACGCTGGAAATCTCTCAATCAAATTGACGAGGAAGAGAAATAGCTGACATCAAGGTAGACAGCTTCTGCCTAACATGACAGATCAAGACTTCATACTTTAAATGTAAACCTGTTCTTCTTTTCTTCCTTTCTTTCTGTCCTTTACTCCGGCATTGGCCTGGGAAGATAACGCCGTCATCCATATCTCGCAGGCCATCGCTAAGGGGGGTGACCCCTGGAATTTAGAACAACTTTTTATTTCAGGCTAAGAGAAAACCTAACTGACGCCTGGCTTGAATGGGCAAATGCAACAATTCCTGCAAATTAATCCATTAACAGTACCACCTTACAGGAAATAGTGCGTGTCCTGACAGGATATATCTCTATCTGTGGTGATTATCATTCTCCTTGGCCTATGAAGGCCTAGACAGCTGGTGCACAGCTGGGCAATGCCTCTTAGGTTATCTAACTGTGCCCCTAACTGCTCTAGAAAAGACCTACTAGGAGGCTTCCATGATTTAGGGCTCGCTTCCTTTGGCAGGTCCCTACTTCCCTGGTTAGGAGTAAATACAAATGAGGCTACGATCAGGAACCTCTCCTTAACTCTTAGAGACAATGTAGATTCCAAGACATTATCTGCCTAGCAAACATCCTTAGGCTCTTTGGCTAAAGTTGTTCCTGATTATGGGATAGCCCTTGATCATCTTTGAGCTGAGCAAGGAGGTGTCTATGGTGTGGCCAACACCACCAGCTGTACCTGGATCAACACTCCTGGCAAAGTTGAAATTCACTTACTTAAGATCACTCACCAAGCCATTTGGCTTAAAAAGGTGACTCTTTCATATGACCCAGCTATCCCACTACTGGGTATCTACCCAGACAACTTGAAATCAACAATCCAAAGTAAAATATGCACCCCTATGTTCATTGCAGCACTATTCACAATAGCCAAGACATGGAAACCATCCAAGTGCCCATCGACTGATGATTGGATAAAGAAGATGTGGTATATATATACAATGGAAGACTACTCAGCCATAAAAAAGACAAAATCATCCCATTTACAACAACATGGATGGACCTAAAAGGAATTATGCTAATAGAAATATTCCAGACTGAGAAAGACAAACACCAGATGATTTCACTCATATGTGGACTATAAACAAACACATGGACAAAGAAAACAGTTCAGTGGTTACCAGGCGAAGGGAGGTGGAGGATGGGCACAGGGGGTGGGGGGGAACACTTATGTGGTGATGGGCAAGAAATAATGTACAACTGAAATTTCACAATGATGTAAACTATTATGAACTCAATTTTAAAAAGAAATTAAAAAAAAAAAAAAGTGACTCCTTCAATGGGGCCTGTCTTGGACTGACTTGATTTTGATTGGTTTGGCTCTTGGGCACCATGGCTCTGAAGTACTCTCCAAACACTGGGAATTATCCTGCTTACAATCTCCCTGGCATGTCATATCTTCCCAAAAGCTTTAAATGCGTGTTTGCAGCCACTAACTACCAAGCAAATGATCTCTTTAAGACTGGAAAGAAAAAAGAAGCAAAGAGAATGATCAACTTAAAACTGTGGACCCAGAGCCATGACCTATCAATATGACACGCGGGAGCAGTCAAAGCTGCGAGAACCACAGAGCGCTAGCTGAGAGTGGAGCTGAGGCATCACACTTTGTTTTCCTCCCCAAAGCCCCAGTACACAGTTGTATATCCCAGTTGTAGGTCATTCTAGTTCTGCTATGTGGGACACCACCTCAGCATGGCTTGATGAGCGGTGTGTAGGTCCGTGTCCAGGATCTGATCCTGCGAACCCCGCACCACCAGGCAGAGTGCATGAACTTAACCGCTAGGCCACCAGGCTGGCCCCTAATGCATTAATTTTTGATCACATCTCTCACTTAGGCTGAGAGTTTGATCAAAAGGGTAAAAGTGTTAGAAAAGAAATAACAGGCTCAAATGGAGTCCTCTGCCCTCAAGACAGCAAACCAAGACTTAACTCCAGCTTCACCCCATCCCAGGAACGCGACCTTTTTAACAATCAATCTGAAATTTCCTGATTAGGACTAGAGAGGTAATCTGCACAATAATACTCCTGTGTTCTCTTCCCCCCCAAAAGATGTCCTGGCCTGAAACAATCTTTTCTTTTCTTTTGTTAATAACTTCCTCACCCCACCCTCCTGCTTATAAAAACCTTGCATTTTGTAAGACTCCTTGGACTATCTCCCTACTTGCTAGATGCGATGCTGCCCGATTCATGGATCATTGAATAAAGCCAATTAGATCTTCAAGTTTACTCGGTTGAATTTTGTTTTTTAACACTGGAATGAAGGGCAGTGTGCTTACTAAGTAGTCAGCAGGGAGTTCTGCAACTTCCAGCCTCTTTTTCTCCATAGTAACAACTGGACCTTTGCACCAGGCACTTTTCTAAGCCCTTTAAATGTTATCAACTTATTTAATTCATCAACCCTACGAGAGTTACTACCACTATTCCCATTTATGAGAGAAAAATGAAGCACAAAGAAAGTGATTTGCCAGGTCACTCAGCCAGGGAGGGGAGTGCCCAGGCAGTCCACTGTCGTTTGCAGCACAGTGCTTCTCCCACTGAGCCCGGGCCCCAAGGCACTCGCTCTGGTCACAGATATGAATGCCTTCCTCTCAAGAGCCTTCTACGGCATGTCCACACGATGGAATATTGTTCAGCCACAAACGGAATGGAGTATGATAGATGCTACAACCTTGATGAACTTAAAAACATTATACTAAGTGAAAGAAGCCAGACATAATGACTGCATACTATGGATTCCATTTATATGAAATGTCCAGCATAGGCAAATCCATAGAGATAGAAAGCAGATTAGAGATGGGGCTAAGGGGAGGGCAGACAAAGAGTGACTGCTAAGGAGTCTGGGATTTCTTTTTCGGGTAATGAAATGTTCTGGAATTTGTGGTGATGGTTGCTCAACTTTGCGAATATATTAAAAACTAACTGAGTTATACTTTTAAAGGGGTAAATTTTATGGCATATAATTTATATCTCAAAAAAAAAAAGTTTGGCATAAGGATTATTTTGAGCTGAAGGCAATTGAGAAGAAGCAGATATGAGAAAAGCTTTCTCCCCTCTTCCTATTTGCCTAAAAGCAGGACATAAATTTGCAGATATGTCCCTCCTCCTCTCTCTACCAGGAAGGACAGAAGTTCATTACCAGAGACAACCCTACACCTTCCTCAGCCTGGAGATGGCACCAGAGGAACCGACATAACAAACCTTGCTAAAACTAGCCCATATCTACCATTAATTCCCCTACATATTTACCTTCCCACAATCTGTCACCCTAGAAACTCAAAGTCCTTTTCTTTTGTCTTGTCACTTCTCTAAAAATTTATTGTTCTTTTGTTAAGATGCTATAATAAGCCCAAGTTCTAACCACCCCTTTGAGTTAGTCATCACTGGGCGCTCCCCTGTGTATGTGTGATGCACATTTGGTAATCTGTCTTTTGTTACTCTAATTAACAAGGCTCCAGTCAGAGAATCTAAAATGAGGAGAAGAAAAAGGTTTTTTCTTCTATACTCCTACAGAAATCTCCACGGTCTGGCTCCTTTCTGTGCCTCAGCTTCTGTCGCTCCTGTCCCCCAGCTCCCATGCCCAGGCTTTCTGGACTTCAGTTCCTCAACTTTGATGTGCACTTTCTCTCTTCAGATTCTAAGACAATGTTGGGCTCAGTTGAAGCATCACTGTCTCCAGGAAGCTTCCTTGGTTTTCTACCCAAGTCAGGGCCACTGCCACCTTAGGTAGCACCCCACCATCCTACACTCACCACCCTGGCAATTTGCTCAGGGTTTGGCTTCCTCAGTAAACTCTAGGCTCCATGAGAGCAGGGATGGGTTGTCTTGTTCACTATTCTATCCTCTGCCACAGCACCCAAACAGAGGTGGCACTTACAAATCCACTGAACAGAGAACACAGGGCCCAGATGCAGACAGGCTGAGCCCTGGGCTTACAGATGGCTCTGCTGCTTTGAGAGGGCAAGGGTCCTTCCCTCTCAGTGTTCCAGTTGACATCCAACCCCACCCTTCAGACCCTTTCAAAGATGGGAGGGGGACCTTACATGAGACCATTTCACGTAAGCCCTTTTATTATTTACTCCAGATAAAGCATGTGCCTGATGCATCGAGGAACCTGAGTCATTTCTGCGGTGAGTTTAAAATCTTCTCCTTCCTTGATCAAAAGTCTTGAGCAAGGGCCAGCCCCAGGGCCAAGCAGTTAAGTTTGTGTGCTCTGCTTCTGTGGCCCAGAGTTTCAACTGTTCGGATCCTGGGCACCGACCCAGCACCGCTCATCAAGCCGTGCTGAGGCGGCGTCCCCCATAGCAAAATGAGAAGGATCTACAACTACAATATATGACTATGACTGGGGGGCTTTGGGGAGACGAAGAAGAAAAAAAAAAGATTGGCAATAGTATATTCTAATTGTAGACTTAGACGTTGTTTGGGGTGGAACTGGGCACATGGTTGTGATCTGCATGGAGCTATATTAATGTTTCCTCAAAGGATTCTGCTACTCTTAACACAGAATAGCAACTCAACACAAGTGCTGCCGTTTATTTATTGAGCACCTGCTACGGTCCAGGGACTTTATAAACATCTCCAATTGTCCCTTAAACTCTGCCAGGATGTATTCTCATCCACGTTTTACAGATGAGAAGACAGAATCAGAAGCAACTTGGCAAAGCCACCAGCTACTAAGTGTTAAAGTACTTTCTTTTACAAAATGTCAGAAAAGGCAATCATCTAGGAAGCTTTTCACAGTCGCTGGAACTTTTTGATTTTCTAGGAACAATTCAAAATGCTTATTAGAAATTCGTGATTCAATAAAGAGAGGGACCAAGAAGACAGGATATCTCTGTGTGTGAGACTTGAAATCATATTTTGGTTCCATTTCCTATTTTTTCCAGTTCTAAAATTAAAAGAACATTAGGGTTTTCTCATATTCATGACGCATTAATGAATAAAAGTAGATGACATATTACTTGGTAAAGAAAAACCAAATTCATATTGCAATATAAGAAACTAATCAAAGGATGAGCTGCTTTACACAAGTAAACAAACAAAAGGGACAAAAAGGGTGTTGATAAACAGGTGGACTAAAGGATTAATGAATGTGAGGGATGTGCTAGCTGCACACCCCTTGATGGTTAAGAATAGACAATCTTGGGGGCTGGCTCTGTGGCTGAGTGGTTAAGTTGGTGTCTCCACTTCGGCAGCCCAGGGTTTCACCAGTTCTGACCCTGGGTGTGGGCATGGAATTGCTCATCAGGCCATGCTGAGGCAGCATCCCACATGCCACACTAGATGGGCCCACAACTAAAATTTACAACTATGTACTGGGGGGTTTTGGGGAGAAAAAGAAGAAAAATTAAAAAAAATAAAAATTAAAAAAAAGATTGGCAACAGGATTGGCTCAGGTGCCAGTCTTTAAAAAAAAAAAAAAGAATAGACAATCTTTCACCAAGCAAGAGAAGTAGGTACCATTTATCAGTAATGCTGGGTGTTGGGATCTCCATCTTGTTAGAGTTTAGACAAATGAGCATGGACATAATTACAGATCCTTTGAAAGCCAAGGACCTGGAGACTGAGGTTGCAATAGCCTCAACGTGGATGAAGGATCTCTGCTCCACTGTCTATTAGCTGATGAGCTTGGGCAAGACCCTCCATCTCAGCTGCTTCATCTGTAAATGAGGAGTCTCCCTACCCAGCTCCTGCCACCTTGAGAGCTGACCCTATCCTGATCTGTGAAAATCCGTTGCTATAGGCTAAAATGAGCTTGGGAAACTATAAAGTAAGGCAATTATGACCTGAGAAGCTGCCAAGTAGGGGAAAAAAGGAAGGAAGGAATAAGGAGGCTTTTCCTCCCATCCCCAGAAATGATCACATGAGCCACGGGAGTGCTCCAGGATCGCTAGA